TATAGTTTCCTAATACCCTGAGGGGAGTGGGAGGGAGGGGAGGGGGGGGGGGGGGGTCTATGGGGTAGTAAATGATCCTGAGGCGGGGGTAAGTGATGAAGAAGTGAATGATCCTGTAAGAGATGAAGATGGCAGCTGCCGGGTTGCAGCGTCCTGCAGAGAGGAGGCCGGGCAGAAGGACAATTAGCAGAAGAGAAGCTGAGTCTGAACTCTCTGACCTCTGCTTTGTTCCTACAGGACAACGGGAAGTGGACGGGGGGGGGGAGATGATGAAGAGGTGATGATGAAGACATGATGATGAAGAGATGAAGAGGTGATGAAGAAGACATGATGATGAAGAGATGAAGATGTGATGAAGAAGACATGATGATGAAGAGGTGATGAAGAAGACATGATGAAGAGGTGATGAGAAAGATATGATGAAGATGTGATGAAGATATGATGAAGATATGAAGAAGATATGATGAAGATATGATGAAGATGTGATGAAGATGTGATGAAGATGTGATGAAGATGTGATGAAGATGTGATGAAGATGTGATGAAGATATGATGAAGATGTGATGAAGATGTGAAGAAGATGTGATGAAGATGTGATGAAGACGTGATGAAGATGTGATGAAGATGTGATGAAGATATGATGAAGATATGATGAAGATATGATGAAGATGTGATGAAGATGTGAAGAAGATGTGATGAAGATGTGATGAAGACGTGATGAAGACGTGATGAAGATGTGATGAAGATATGATGAAGATATGATGAAGATGTGATGAAGATGTGATGAAGATATGATGAAGATGTGATGAAGATGTGATGAAGATATGATGAAGATATGATGAAGATATGATGAAGATGTGATGAAGATGTGATGAAGATGTGATGAAGATGTGATGAAGATGTGATGAAGCTGTGATGAAGAGATGATGAAGATATGATGAAGAAGAGGTGATGAAGAGATGAAGACAGACATTGTAAGTTGCTTGGTGAGCAGCGGTCTCCAAACCATTTTGAATCGGCCCTCAGCTAATTCAGAAAGTATAATGGAGTACGGCCCACAGAGGAAACTTGTGCTTGTCTTAGATTGTACTTCTTAAATGTATATGTATAAATATATTACACAGTCTTCACGTGTTAATACGAACACTTTTCAAATAAATTCAGTCAATTCAAGTTGGAAACATGTTCTAACAAATCTAAATTGATAAGGAAAAAGCCCAATAACAAATTCACAACCTTTCATATCTCCTCTTGTTGTCATCAGTCTGAAGCTTCTGGTTTAAGGAATGAGCTGCCAACACAATGAATGAAACCCTCTGGAGAGATGTGAGCTGCTTTTTCTTACAGCATTTTCAATTATCAAGAATAATTTACCTACATGGTTGACTTTTCCAACTTATACATTTACTTGTGAGGCGATATACCTCTAGTGCACATGTGTCAAACTCAAGGCCCGGGGGCCAAATCCGGCCCTTGGTGGATTTAATTTCGGCCCAACAGGATAATTTCTAATTACTATTAGATCTGGCCCTCCAGTATATTGCACGCACACCTTCACTCCATCCTGAGGGTCTCCTCCGCTCAGAGCCTGAGCCCAAACATTGATGAACTTGCACCCAAGATGAGATGCCAAGTATCTGAACTAGCATCACAGAGCAGCACACTGAGTTTACATGGATGTTTCCTTTTCTCTCACGACAACAGAGCATGTTTGGTTTTCTCTTTGAGGGAAATAGTTTTGTTGAAGCTGTTGTTGGCCTGTGGAGAAATGTAATCATAAGAAATGACTCTGGACAAGCTGCAGATGGAGCCATAAGAAATGAATGCAACTGATTATTTAATGTTTAATGTTGTTTTTATAGGCAATCATTTAAGCTTTGTTAGTTCCAGGTTTAATATGTGCAATAAGTTCATTTCAATAAGTTCTGCAATAAACATAGAACCAGTCCGGCCCTCCACTAGTACCCATTTTTTAATTTTGGCCCACTGTGTATTTGAGTTTGACCCCCCTGCTCTAGTGAGTGGCCCAGCCCTTCGTATGTTCTGTATGTTGGCCCTCGGAGAAAAGACACCCCTGCCTTAGCTGGATAAAGTTACTTGAGGTCTGAAACAGTCACTTATTCATTCCTTCCTCTCACAGATGTGTCTCCACTGCAGGAGGAGAGGAGGAGGAGAAAACAGGACTATTATCCCTCTAACAATGTCTGTAAGGCTTTTATTGCAGCACCCAGGGGTGCTCGGAGCTCTTTGTGAGGCGACTGCTGGCACACTTTGTCTTTGTGTTGTCTTTTAACTGGTGCTCGTTTAACGGCCCCCACAAAACTTCTAAATAACGTTTGACTTTCAGAACGTACGTGGGGTGGTCTCTGGTCTTCACAAAGCTCTTTATGTCGCTCTTCACTTTGTAAAACAGTCAATGGAAATGTGGAGGGGTTGAAAAGCAAAGAAGGCATTTGCACATCCAAACGTCTGATCTGCTGCTGGGTGCGGACGTCAGGAGCTGCACGGAAATCAATGAAGTTCATAAATACATGTTCTGCAATTTGTCTAAATGCATTACAGCAGATTGGGTTCTGTATTGACATTGTTACCTATGTTTCTATAAAGTGAAGATTTGTTTACCTACTGTTGATACGTGCTCTGATCGAATAACTGTATGCTGTTGAAAAAACCCAATATACAAAGTTACATTTTGTGTGTGTGTGTGTGTGTGTGTGTGTGTGTGTGTGTGTGTGTGTGTGTGTGTGTGTGTGTGTGTGTGTGTTGTGTGTGTGTGTGTGTGTGTGTGTGTGTGTGTGTGATTGGGGCTCAGAATGCAATCAATGTCTTTTTAAATATAACTGTTTTTATTTATTCGTAATTTTTTGTTGTTTATTTTTTTTCTTTACATAACTTCTGCATCTTCTGCTTTATTTGACTATTTAAATGTATTCTTAAAGTGTTTACGTATCCACCTTTTCTTTAAACAAAGCATATCAATGATCGCAATGAGTAAAAGTAAATACATGTGAAAACCAGAACAAGAACATAAACCAGTGTGAGACTTTGTTTTCAAGTTTCAAGCCTGATTGAGTGTCAGGATGCATTTTAACTCTGAAATATCTGTACTTTTAACTATAATGTAAGCCAGTTTTAATATGTCAGGTGTCGTCGCAAGTCCCATGTTTTTGAATCAGAATTCCGACTTTATTCTGACTTTTTTCACACTAGATGCTTATACCAAATATATGTTTAACAGAAGCTAGAGGGCTACAACAGAACATGGTGAACACACAAAAACACATGTCGTAAAGCAAGTCGTATGGAGCTCATTTCCTGCCATAACTCCACACACAAACCAAACAAGTTTTACAAATGCCTTATGATTCACTAAGAAACACAGTGTGGTTTGCAAATACAAAAAACCTACACGTTTATTGCCAGGCTTTGTTTGAAATAATTTCATTTTTGAGCAGTCGCATGTTGTAACGTGTGTGTGTGTGACGTGTGAGGTTAAGGACACAAGTTCCCTCGCTTTTTTTTTGCATATAAGTGATTCAGCTATTGTATTACAAGAATTAGCAGTAATGGATATTCTGCGATTTTTAAAACGTCCAATTTCTGGGACGTTTAAGGCGTCTACTTCTGCACTAAGGTAGGACACTGGTTAATAATATTGTAGCGTGTTCAAGTAAGTAATAAGTATAAGATGTGCACAGTTATGATGAGTTTTACAGTTATGTAATGCACTGTTGTTGGGGGGAGAGACCGCCCCTTCCATATGAGTGTGTGTGTACGGCGGGCATGAGGCGTGCATGACGGGACGAGTTGTGTTGAAAAGTCATACTCAGTGCGGTGAACGCTGGCTTTATTCCTACTGTATCCGTAGCACCCCACGCAATAGTTGGGACTGTGTACTGACGTCAGTAAAAAAGGTTTGCCCCCCCAAGCGCAAATGTCAAACTCCGCCTGTGTTGCTTTGGTATCTGGTGGTGCGAACATAAACAAAGTAGCATTGAGAACCAATTGTAATGTGTTTGTCTGATAAATACGTTTTTTATTTGCAAAACTTAAAGTGGACCTATCATGCTATATTTGAATAATATAGTGTAGGACCATACCTATATAAGGCATATTTATACTTTTTGTTTTTCAAAATACCAAACAGATCATGCATTTTAGCCATGCCTCATTTCGCTCAATTTGAAAAATGTTAGCTCTGTTTTTGCAAGGGCTGATTCAGTGAGAACAGCACCATCTACAGGCCTGGCATATGTACTACAGCGTCTCCAGCGCTTTCGAACGGCAATGGCCGTGGCTGTCTCCTCCTGATTGGTGGAGTTGGCCCAATAGCCGTAGCGCCACCGTCCTGACGTCAGGACAGTGTTCAAATCTGGATCAGTTTTTATCAGATCCGTTGCAGCCCCTTTTTTAGAGATTTGGGTATGGAGGAAAATAGAGAGGGTTGTGTTTTCTGACATTTGGTGAGTTCCCTGGAACACCGGGGACACATATTCATGTAGAAAAGACGTACAAAAGTGCATTTTGCATGATAGGTCCCCTTTAATGCATTCGTTTGTAGATGGTGTTTTGTATTTGCAAACCACACTGTGTTTGTTAGTGAATCATAAGGCATTTGTAAAACTTGTTTAGTTTGTTTCAGGACTGGAGTTATGGCAGGAAATTAGCTCCATAAAGTTCCACCTGAAAAAACACAACAAATGTAAATTCATAGAGAAAAAGATGAAACACTGAACCTCTAATATTTGATCCTCTGTACGTTTTGCACATTCCTTCACAATGCCACCTTTTTTTTTATGCACTGCTCGTTCGTACAAATATTTTCTTTCTTTTTTTGCATATTTTGTATATTTATTATTTTCTTGAAGAACATATTTTTTAATAATTTAATGTTAATTTGGAGGTAAGCTGCAGTTCTCACGTCAACCTGCGGTGGCGCTGCTGCGCTGAAGAGCAGACCGGAAGTCGGTTCAACCTGGAAGTCTTCTCCTTTTTGTTGTCATTGATTTGAAACATGGCGTCAGAAGGAGAGGCGGTCATCGCTGCTAAAACAGAAGCGGAGACCGGAGACGGGTCTGTGTCCTTCATTCAAAGTCTTCTTTATTCTTACTAATGTGTAGCACATGATTCTAACTATCTGTGAAAATATGGAGCGATTATGTGCTGATTTCTGTTCGTAAAAGCTGTTAGCATCTTGGCTAGCTAACGTTAGCATGTCATAGAATAACCGTTACAGCTCAAACTACGAGGAGAATATCTCAAATATCCAGTGGTGTAAAGTAACTAAGAGTACATTTACTCAAGTACTCAACTTAAGTACAATTTCACGGTACTCGTACTTTACTTCCGTAGTTCCATTTTCTGCTACTGTGTACTTTTCCTCCACTACATGTATTTAATACCTTTAGTGACTTCACAGATGTGGATGAATGATGTGAAATATAACCAAGTGTTAAATCAGACTTTAGTTCCACCTGGAGTAAATCCACAAGCTACCCTGCAGTATACAAAGTCATTCAAACTAGCTGCACCTTTACCAGCTTTGAGAACACTTTCATGATCAATCATTATAAAACATATCATATATATTATTCTGAAATGGACCAATCTGCACAATGACTACTTTTACTGTCGCTACTTTCACTATATTTTGATGATAATACTTTTCTACTTTCACTTGAGGAACATTTTGAATGCAGGACTTTTACTGTAACAGAGTATTCCTACACTCTGGTACTTCTACTTTTACTCAAGAACAAGATCTGAGTACTTCTACTTTTACTCAAGAACAAGATCTGAGTACTTCTACTTTTACTCAAGTACAAGATCTGAGTACTTCTACTTTTACTCAAGTACAAGATCTGAGTACTTCTACTTTTACTCAAGATCTGAGTACTTCTACTTTTACTCAAGTACAAGATCTGAGTACTTCTACTTTTACTCAAGTGCAAGATCTGAGTACTTCTACTTTTACTGAAGTACAATACCTGAGTACTTCTGCTTTTACTCAAGTACAGTAATTGGTCCAACCCACTGGCAGGTTGATCTGAATACTTCTACTTACTGAAGTGTATCTAATTCATATTTCTATTGCCTTACAGGGATGCTGCATTTGGGGAAGTTCCCACCAGCATGGATACTGAATCACCCAACGGCAAAGAGGCAATGGTAACACCTATTGATATATGACTACTATGACTCGGTGTGTTCTCTTGTACTGCATGAGATGCTTGCCTTCTATAATACACTTCTTTTTGTATCTAACAATGTACATTTCTCCTCTGTGAGACGAATGAAGGTATTCTGATTCTGATACACATGCTGTTGTTTAATAATGAGACTCTGTGTATCTGACAGGAAGCGGCGGGGGAGGGATCTGAAGCGGCCGACGCTCTGACGGGGTCCGGAGACGAGGAGAGTGGTCGGCAGCTGGGAGAGGTGGAGCTGCAGTGTGCGCTCTGCATGAAGTGGTTCACTGCAGACACCTTCAGCATCGACACCGCGTAGGTTATCACTTGTTATTACACGACGGCTTAGTTGTATACTCCATTCTGATTGGTCAATTCAGAACATGTTGTTAATCCAGTAGTACAGACCGCTGTCAAGGACTGTAATGACCGTTGCTAAGGAGGGATGGGAATGATTAATCGGATATTCAAAATGATTCAGGTATTCGAATATGAGTTATGAATATTTGTATTGTATTTAAAAAAATGTTTTATAGCAGGGGTGCCTAAGTTGATTACATATTATCAAATGTATAGGATGTGTAAATTCGGTTAACTGTTTTTTTAGGGGGTCGAATATTCGAATATACATTTGCTTTCAAAGTCCCGTCCCTAATCTGCAGTAATGTGACGGGTCCCAGCTGCAGGTGACTCCTGATCAATAGAGGATGTGGAAGAATGGACAGCGATGCATCTCATATGTTCTCTGGCATTTATTCTGAGGACAACAAACACACCATGTCCTTTAAACATCCACATCAATGCTCACGGCACTGCGTTAGAATTGGAGAATAACTATGAAATTGCCAAGATAATTGTTAGGGAATAATTTGCTTAGGTATTCAACCTTCGACACAGTTCATCGTTTTCTCCTCTCACTGTCTCCTTTCCCACGGCATAGGTCTACGGCCTTGGGGTCTGCTGCTATCTCTCTTAAGGAGGGGCAGCTTGGGTTCTGCTGCTATCTCTCTTAAGGAGGGGCAGCTTGGGTTCTGCTGCTATCTCTCTTAAGGAGGAGCAGCTTGGGTTCTGCTGCTATCTCTCTTAAGGAGGAGCAGCTTGGGTTCTGCTGCTATCTCTCTTAAGGAGGGGCAGCTTGGGTTCTGCTGCTATCTCTCTTAAGGAGGAACAGCTTGGGTTCTGCTGCTATCTCTCTTAAGGAGGGGCAGCTTGGGTTCTGCTGCTATCTGTCTTAAGGAGGAGCAGCTTGGGTTCTGCTGCTATCTCTCTTAAGGAGGAGCAGCTTGGGTTCTGCTGCTATCTCTCTTAAGGAGGGACAGCTTGGGTTCTGCTGCTATCTCTCTTAAGGAGGGGCAGCTTGGGTTCTGCTGCTATCTCTCTTAAGGAGGGGCAGCTTGGGTTCTGCTGCTATCTCTCTTAAGGAGGGACAGCTTGGGTTCTGCTGCTATCTCTCTTAAGGAGGGGCAGCTTGGGTTCTGCTGCTATCTCTCTTAAGGAGGGGCAGCTTGGGTTCTGCTGCTATCTCTCTTAAGGAGGGGCGGCTTGGGTTCTGCTGCTATCTCTCTTAAGGAGGGACAGCTTGGGTTTCTGCTGCTATCTCTCTTAAGGAGGGGCAGCTTGGGTTCTGCTGCTATCTCTCTTAAGGAGGGGCAGCGTGGGTTCTGCTGCTATCTCTCTTAAGGAGGGGCAGCTTGGGTTCTGCTGCTATCTCTCTTAAGGAGGGACAGCTTGGGTTCTGCTGCTATCTCTCTTAAGGAGGTGCAGCGTGGGTTCTGCTGCTATCTCTCTTAAGGAGGGGCAGCTTGGGTTCTGCTGCTATCTCTCTTAAGGAGGGGCAGCTTGGGTTCTGCTGCTATCTCTCTTGAGGAGGGGCAGCGTGGGTTCTGCTGCTATCTCTCTTAAGGAGGGGCAGCTTGGGTTCTGCTGCTATCTCTCTTGAGGAGGGGCAGCTTGGGTTCTGCTGCTATCTCTCTTAAGGAGGAGCAGCTTGGGTTCTGCTGCTATCTCTCTTGAGGAGGGGCAGCTTGGGTTCTGCTGCTATCTCTCTTAAGGAGGGGCAGCTTGGGTTCTGCTGCTATCTCTCTTGAGGAGGGGCAGCTTGGGTTCTGCTGCTATCTCTCTTAAGGAGGGGCAGCTTGGGTTCTGCTGCTATCTCTCTTAAGGAGGGGCAGCTTGGGTTCTGCTGCTATCTCTCTGAAGGAGGGGCAGCTTGGGTTCTGCTGCTATCTCTCTTAAGGAGGAGCAGCTTGGGTTCTGCTGCTATCTCTCTTAAGGAGGGGCAGCTTGGGTTCTGCTGCTATCTCTCTTAAGGAGGGGCAGCTTGGGTTCTGCTGCTATCTCTCTTAAGGAGGGGCAGCTTGGGTTCTGCTGCTATCTCTCTTAAGGAGGAGCAGCTTGGGTTCTGCTGCTATCTCTCTTGAGGAGGGGCAGCTTGGGTTCTGCTGCTATCTCTCTTAAGGAGGGGCAGCTTGGGTTCTGCTGCTATCTCTCTTAAGGAGGGGCAGCTTGGGTTCTGCTGCTATCTCTCTTAAGGAGGGGCAGCTTGGGTTCTGCTGCTATCTCTCTTAAGGAGGGGCAGCTTGGGTTCTGCTGCTATCTCTCTTAAGGAGGGACAGCTTGGGTTCTGCTGCTATCTCTCTTAAGGAGGTGCAGCGTGGGTTCTGCTGCTATCTCTCTTAAGGAGGGGCAGCTTGGGTTCTGCTGCTATCTCTCTTAAGGAGGGAGCAGCTTGGGTTCTGCTGCTATCTCTCTTGAGGAGGGGCAGCGTGGGTTCTGCTGCTATCTCTCTTAAGGAGGGGCAGCTTGGGTTCTGCTGCTATCTCTCTTGAGGAGGGGCAGCTTGGCTTCTGCTGCTATCTCTCTTAAGGAGGAGCAGCTTGGGTTCTGCTGCTATCTCTCTTGAGGAGGGGCAGCTTGGGTTCTGCTGCTATCTCTCTTAAGGAGGGGCAGCTTGGGTTCTGCTGCTATCTCTCTTGAGGAGGGGCAGCTTGGGTTCTGCTGCTATCTCTCTTAAGGAGGGGCAGCTTGGGTTCTGCTGCTATCTCTCTTAAGGAGGGGCAGCTTGGGTTCTGCTGCTATCTCTCTGAAGGAGGGGCAGCTTGGGTTCTGCTGCTATCTCTCTTAAGGAGGAGCAGCTTGGGTTCTGCTGCTATCTCTCTTAAGGAGGGGCAGCTTGGGTTCTGCTGCTATCTCTCTTAAGGAGGGGCAGCTTGGGTTCTGCTGCTATCTCTCTTAAGGAGGAGCAGCTTGGGTTCTGCTGCTATCTCTCTTAAGGAGGAGCAGCTTGGGTTCTGCTGCTATCTCTCTTGAGGAGGGGCAGCTTGGGTTCTGCTGCTATCTCTCTTAAGGAGGGGCAGCTTGGGTTCTGCTGCTATCTCTCTTAAGGAGGGGCAGCTTGGGTTCTGCTGCTATCTCTCTTAAGGAGGGGCAGCTTGGGTTCTGCTGCTATCTCTCTTAAGGAGGGGCAGCTTGGGTTCTGCTGCTATCTCTCTTAAGGAGGGACAGCTTGGGTTCTGCTGCTATCTCTCTTAAGGAGGTGCAGCGTGGGTTCTGCTGCTATCTCTCTTAAGGAGGGGCAGCTTGGGTTCTGCTGCTATCTCTCTTAAGGAGGGAGCAGCTTGGGTTCTGCTGCTATCTCTCTTGAGGAGGGGCAGCGTGGGTTCTGCTGCTATCTCTCTTAAGGAGGGGCAGCTTGGGTTCTGCTGCTATCTCTCTTGAGGAGGGGCAGCTTGGCTTCTGCTGCTATCTCTCTTAAGGAGGAGCAGCTTGGGTTCTGCTGCTATCTCTCTTAAGGAGGGGCAGCTTGGGTTCTGCTGCTATCTCTCTTAAGGAGGGGCAGCTTGGGTTCTGCTGCTATCTCTCTTGAGGAGGGGCAGCTTGGGTTCTGCTGCTATCTCTCTTAAGGAGGGGCAGCTTGGGTTCTGCTGCTATCTCTCTTAAGGAGGGGCAGCTTGGGTTCTGCTGCTATCTCTCTGAAGGAGGGGCAGCTTGGGTTCTGCTGCTATCTCTCTTAAGGAGGAGCAGCTTGGGTTCTGCTGCTATCTCTCTTAAGGAGGGGCAGCTTGGGTTCTGCTGCTATCTCTCTTAAGGAGGGGCAGCTTGGGTTCTGCTGCTATCTCTCTTAAGGAGGAGCAGCTTGGGTTCTGCTGCTATCTCTCTTAAGGAGGAGCAGCTTGGGTTCTGCTGCTATCTCTCTTAAGGAGGGGCAGCTTGGGTTCTGCTGCTATCTCTCTTAAGGAGGGGCAGCTTGGGTTCTGCTGCTATCTCTCTTAAGGAGGGGCAGCTTGGGTTCTGCTGCTATCTCTCTTAAGGAGGAGCAGCTTGGGTTCTGCTGCTATCTCTCTTGAGGAGGGGCAGCTTGGGTTCTGCTGCTATCTCTCTTAAGGAGGGGCAGCTTGGGTTCTGCTGCTATCTCTCTTTAGGAGGGGCAGCTTGGGTTCTGCTGCTATCTCTCTTTAGGAGGGGCAGCTTGGGTTCTTGCTGCTATCTCTCTTAAGGAGGGGCAGCTTGGGTTCTGCTGCTATCTCTCTTAAGGAGGGGCAGCTTGGGTTCTGCTGCTATCTCTCTTAAGGAGGAGCAGCTTGGGTTCTGCTGCTATCTCTCTTGAGGAGGGGCAGCTTGGGTTCTGCTGCTATCTCTCTTAAGGAGGGGCAGCTTGGGTTCTGCTGCTATCTCTCTTTAGGAGGGGCAGCTTGGGTTCTGCTGCTATCTCTCTTTAGGAGGGGCAGCTTGGGTTCTGCTGCTATCTCTCTTTAGGAGGGGCAGCTTGGGTTCTGCTGCTATCTCTCTTAAGGAGGGGCAGCGTGGGCGCATTGTTGTTGCCAGTCTATGACCGAGCACAAGCCGCCATGAGGTAGTTTACTGTTCAGGGACGAAGGTTCCCTGGCGCACATTCTTTCCTATGGACGAGAGCTCTAGTTAGATTCAGGGTCCATAATTGTTTAGTCTCGCTGATAAAGAATGTTGATTATTACACTCTGAAGTCCTCTCCTCGTGAGTCCTGTTTCCAATTGCTTCAGAAGTTTCCCCCACAGATAACATTATTTTTTGAGTAATCGAATGCAATACAAACATACCTGAGGACAACAAACCCACCATGTCCTTTAACATCCACGATGCACGTCACATCTTTTACAAAAAGAGAAACTCAGTAATGATGTAATGATTTCTCTTTCTCCTCCACAGCACCTGCCTTCCCTTCATGACTAACTACGTGTTTCACTGCAACGTGTGCCATCACAGCGGCAACACCTACTTCCTCAGGAAACAAGCAAGTAGGTGTTCTGTGTGTTATAGTTATATTATAGAAAGGACCATTTCTGTTATTGGTCTTGCATTGCTTAACATTATCTCAGAGACTTTTTGCCATTTTTAGTGAGTCTTAGTGACTATTTCTAAAATGTCTTGTGACAGATAAATGTTTTCAGACCATCAGTGAAGAAACGAGACATATATTACTAAATAATGTTGTAATTTATTCCCTTAAATCCATGGTTCTTCTGCATTAGTGAGCCGGATCATTTGGCTCGGCTCACCAAGAAGAGCACCACATATACCTTTTTAAAATTCAATCAAATGTAGCCCTGTTTTGACTAATGATTTATATATGTACACATATATCACTTCAATGATTCAATACATCCTTTCTACTGAAGTATTCAAAAGTAAAAATTACATGTTTAATATAAATGATTTGCTGTGGCCAATTGTTTTCATTGCATTTACAGACCCTTACTCTCTGATACCACCCACAAAGCAGATAGCAACACCTATAAAAACTTAAGCATAGACATTTAAAAAAAAGGACAGCTACTGTATCGACATTTTAAAATTGTACTTAAAGGGGACCTATCATGCAAAATGCACTTGTGTACGTCTTTTCTACATGAATATGTGTCCCCGGTGTTCCAGGGAACTCACCAAGTGTCAGAAAACACAACCCTCTCTATTTTCCTCCATACCCAAATCTCTAAAAAAAGGGGCTGCAACGGATCTGATAAAAACTGATCCAGATTTGAACACTGTCCTGACGTCAGGACAGTGGCGTTACGGCTATTGGGCCAACTCCACCAATCAGGAGGAGACAGCCACGGCCATTGCCGCTCGAAAGCCCTGGAGACGCTGTAGTACATATGCCAGGCCTGTAGTATATACCACTGTATAAGTGGCGCTGTAGTCTGCCACAAAAGCAGCGATGAAGACTTGGTTACCATGGTTACCCTTCTGTTTATTCTCCGCTGTGGCTTTCTTTCTCCCTCCCCGAGGCAAGCGTTTGCTCCCGCTGCTTTAATTCAATGCAATCCCTCCCCGTCGAGGCAAGCACTGTAATTCTCTCCGGTTAGTCCACCAGCAGATGACAAACACCCACCTCTCCGCCTCTTCCAAGGAACGAGGGGACCGTGCGGCAGAGTTTCAGTTTCAGTTTCTTTCGCCGGTCAAGATGTCCGTTAAAGTTTCAATCTTCCGGACAAAATTAGAAAAGTGCCGATCAAAGGTCTTCTTTGTTATTTATTGAGCTTTAAAACAAATGAATAACGACTCTATATAATAAAACACGGAGGACGGAGATCTCTTTTTCTCCCCCTCTTCTGACAGCCCAGCAGCTGATCAGAGCACGTCTCCCCTCTCCTGCAGGGGGGCGTGGTCAGCAGAATCAGACCCGTAGACAGCAAACAGCACATAGAGCGAAATGAGGCATGGCTAAAATGCATGATCTGTTTGGTATTTTGAAAACAGAAACGTATAAATATACCTTATATAGGTATGGCCCTACAATATATCATTTAAATATAGCATGATAGGTGTCCTTTTAAAGAAAAAGCCCAAACAAAACAGCAGGGCTCTATTTCAGTATTAACTAAATAAATGCTGAGCCTAAAGATAATCATACATAAATAACATAATAAAAATAAATATATTGCAATGCTCAGAACAGCAGCACCCAACCGTCTCTAATCCTTGGATATGACATGTCACAGCATGCATGCACGGAGCACCCGTAGCGCGATCATCATCATATCATTCTGTCTTGTATTACTTAACAACAGCAAAAAACGTCTCGTTCGCGGGCGCGAGCCAGCTCCCCGTCGTTCACTTAAAAGAGCCGGCTCGTTCGCGGCCGACACATCACTATTCTGCAGCACATAGTGCCCCCTCCTCTCCTCTTGGCAGTCTCTCCTCACTGCAGCAAAACCACCCACTTCTCTGAATGCAAATGACTGCATGACTGGCAGCTTCTTCCACTGTCCACCATGTACACTACTGGGGACTCACATTGATACTCTTCTGTTAGTGGGAATAGCTACCAGGGAAACTAAAGCGCTATCGTATTCCTGTTCTCATTGCACACTTCAAATGTCCTTCATGTCCCCAGGAGATTGAACCTGGTGTCAGACATTATTTCAGAGAGAACTTGAGGGTTATAGGGAATCAAGTGAAACCCTGATGGTGTCATTTCTCTAAACATTGTGCAATAGAGATTAACTTCATGAAGATACCTTTGAGCAAACAGCTTGTCTATTGACCAGCGTTTCCGCCAGGGGGGCGTCTAGCCGTCATTTGACGCCCTTATTCAGCTCGGAGCTCTGCTGGAGGGGCAAAGGAGTCTGGTGGGATTATTTTTCGCCGCCAGCAAAGCGTGTTCCTGTGACGGAAAGTGTACTGCCGGTGAGCCTTGACGGGGGGTGCTAGTGGAGCACGCGCGTGAACTGCGAGCGCCAGAGAAACTGAGGCTCCGTGGTGAACTGCCGAAAGGGCCGGCTCTTCTTAGTGAGCCGAGCCAAATGACCCGGCTCACTAAAAAGAGCCGGAATCCCATCGCTAATACGTAAAGAGATAGTATCTATGGGACGGCTCAATTCAAAATTCAAGTCACGTGACACGACGTGACGTCACACATAAACCTGCCTTGCCTACTAACTTAGCTATGAGTAAGTTTTGTTGCACATGTGTACACTCATTTTGAAACTTTAACAAGCCGGTGTTTCTCTCTCTCTCTCTCTGTGTGTTCAGACCTGAAGGAGATGTGTCTCACGGCACTGGCCAACCTCACCTGGAGGTCCAGAACACAAGACGAGCATCCGAAGACCATGTTCCCCAAAGAGAAGGTGAGCATCACATGTGTCACTGCCCTTTGGAATTATGCAAATATGAACTGTAAAACATATACAGCCAATTAAGATGATTGTTGGAAATCTCCTGGTGAGGCTGTGAATACTACGACTATGGTTTGTTTTCTCATGTCTCTCTCTCTCTGCAGGATATCATCCCGTTCATTGATAAGTACTGGGAGTGCATGACGACCCGTCAGAGACCCGGGAAACTCACCTGGCCGAACAACATCGTGAAGACAATGGTAACGTCAAGAATTCCACATGTTATACATACAGAACATTTGAAATACCGTTTCTCGCAGTCCCACAGTGTGACATATATACATATAACAAGATACGGAGGCATGCGGCGCAGTGGGTTGTGCGTAGGTGTTGGGATCAGGGGGTCACAGGTTCAAACCCCACTGCAGTCAGCATGTCGTTGTGTCCCTGAGACACTTCCCCCCACATTGCTCCTGTGGGGATTGCCCACAGTATTCAGTATGTAAGTCGCTTTGGATAAAAGCGTCTAACAAGTGACATGTAATGTAATGTAATGTAATGTTTAAGAAACAAAACGGGTCTAGATAAAAGGTGTATACAAACTAAGTTGGAAACATAGACAGATACTCAGAGAAATAAGAAGATACTGCTCTGATTCTTTGTAAACACCAGCTAAAGACACATCTTTTTAGATTAGCATTTTATTAGCAACCCCTCGTTATTTATCTAACATGCTTCAGTAGCAATATTTATTTTGACGTTGGTCTTTTTTATTTCTTAATCGTTTAACCTTTATTAGAATTATGGCATTTGTATTATTTTTTTATTTGTATTTCTGTTGTACCGACATGTTCACTTTGTCTTATGGGGTTGGGTATGTTAGATTGTTGCATCGACTCAGTCGTCTTGTCTGTCGGAGAGAAACCATTCTTTATTATATTTTATTATCATACATTTGACCTCCTTGTGTCTCTTAACCTGATCAAATGTTATATTAGATATCGCTGCATGGACCTTTTAAAGTTCTTTAAAAAATAATCTGAGGGGAATTTCTTGTTGTTTGTTTTGAACTTGTGTCATTTAGTAAAGCGCTTTGAGCTGCACGTGTTGGATGAAAAGTGCTGTAAGGAGGCGTGTGGCGCAGTGGGTTGTGCGTTGGTGTTGGGATCAGGGGGTCACAGGTTCAAACCCCACTGCAGTCAGCATGTCGTTGTGTCCCTGAGACACTTCACCCCAAATTGCTCCTGTGGGGTGTCATGTAATGTAATGTAATGTTGTATAAATAAAGCTTTATTATTATTATTATAAATACTAGGTTATCCCGAGAACCAATATTATGTCTGACCCTCCACTGAAAAACCCAAATACTACTGTTATCATACAGTAATATCTTTCTAAAAGTGCTTGTGTTTTATCTCCAGAGTAAAGAGCGAGATGTCTTCCTGGTGAAGGAGCACCCGGACCCCGGCAGCAAAGACCCCGAGGAGGAGTACCCCAAATTCGGCCTCTTGGACCAGGTATCATCATCATTCATGATAATACAATACTATCACTGACATGGGACACCTTTGTCTCTCGCTACCTGCTGGAGAGGGAGGGAGAGGGAGAGGGAGAGATGGAGGGACATATTGTTGTAAATGTCTAACTTCAGTTGTATTGATTGTTCTGTAGGACCTGGGGACCATCGGACCCTCGTATGACTCACAGAAACAAACCAGTGCTGCTCCAAGTGCTACAGGGCTGAACGGTAAGGGTAGAAACAAATAAATACATTTGAATTGTAATGCAGGTCAAACTAAAGCCACCGTGGGGACATGTCTCCCATCTCTGGCCTGTGTAGAGGGGTGCAGGAATGAGTCCCAGTTTAAACTCTTCCTGTCCCCTGGGCTGGAAGTCAACGGTTTTCTGAATGTGTTTTTGGTTGTTAGCCTGAAATAAGGTCAACACAAGCTGAAGAGATTTGAACGCTTTGTTCTACGACATAAAACACGTCAGTAAATACCACACTGGTGGATTTAAAACGGCTCGTAACGTGTCATAAGCGTTTCTGCAATCACCCAAACAAATCCCATTGAACCAGGGAGATGCTGCCTTCAGGGTCGGCCTATAAAATCCGTCCTCCCTGCATCACTGTATAAACTCCCCAAAGTTGAACCTAAGAGCATTTTGAAAATGATGACCTTTCCTGGAAGTCAATGGTTTTCTGAATGTGTTTTTGGTTGAAATAAGTGGTTAACACAAGCTGGAGAGGTTTTTGTTCTACGACAAACTATACGTCAGTAAATACCCCTCTGGTGGATTAAATAAAAGGTGGTTTCCAACAAAAAAAAAGTGTGTGTGAGCCTTTGAGACTGAAACCATTTTGGGAGGGAAAAAAAGAATTAAAAAAACATTTATTTATAATCATAATATATCATAAACGTGCCACGATTACTCGACTAATCGCCTTAATTGACGACTATTGGTCGACTAGAAAAATTGTATTGTAAAAAAACGTTTATGGCAGGGGTGCCTAAGTTGATAACATCTTATCAAATGGATGAATGAAATGAGAAACGGTGGTTACGCGTCAATACATTGGACACATTCCACTTGGTTTCTATATTTATTAGAACATAAAATACGTCAGTAACTGGTGAGAGTGTTTGTGTCTGGAGAAGGGGGGGGGGGAGTGTTTGTCTGAGGAAGGGGGGAAGGGAGGGAGATGTCAGTAAATACCACACTGGTGGATTTAAAAAAGGTGGTTTCTAACAAGAAAAAAGTGTGGAGAAAATCCCATTGAACCAGAGAGATGCTGCCTTCAGGGTCAGCCTATAAAATCCGTCCTCCCTACATCAATCTAAACTCCCCAAAGTTGAACCAAAAAAACATATGAAAATGATGACCTTGGTGATTTTGTGCGTTGTTTTCCAGGTGGATCTTCTTTCTCAGGTGAATATGTAACGTGTTGGCATTGGAGCTGTTGTGTTTGTCCGCCTCTGGATAGAAGTTGGCCCTGAGGTTCTTCATTAAGCATCTTATGGGCAACTTCATCCAGCTGTAATCCCCCTCCCTTTTGCCTCCCTTTTTTGCCTCCATATGCACATGCCCCCCCCCCCCCCCCCCCCCTCCCAAAAAAGCTTTGATCAGTACCTTGCCTTCCTCGTGTCCCGCTTGCTGCTAATTGGCTCTGAAGTCTCCTCGCTGAAATGACACTCTGGCCCTCCGTGTGTGAGAGCCGAGAGCCATTTTGATTTGCTATTGGCTTTCATCCAATGCAAATTCGCCTCGCCCTCTCTCCTCCTCCTCC